GGGTTTTGTTTAGCTTCTATATTTGCAACATAGTTGCTTAGAGTTGCAGCTGAGAGGCCGGCAAGTCAAGCGGGGAACGTTGGAGTCTGCCATCACTGGAGCAAGCAAGCCTCCCTGTTCGCTTCAGCGCATGGCTGCCGGCTGCCATCTTGGCTGACAGTTAATTTGCATAAGGATATGCAGATTAGCCAATGGGAAGGGTAGCGGTCGTACGCTAATTACCATGTTTCTCTTTTATTAGTGTAGATAAAAGCCTATGCAACCATTTGACTGGTAGCTATGATGCACACTGGGGGCAGACGCTCAATGCACAGGCATGGAAACATGGAACAGAATGATGAATCTCAGAGGGAAGGGCAGAGGGGGGAGGGCGGGAAAAGATGAACCAAAGATCTTATATGCATACTAGAGGCCCGGTGCATGGATTCGTGCATCGGTGGAGTTCCTCGGCCTGGCCTGCAGGGATCAGGCCGAATCTGTGCACCAGGTCTCTGACATCCCCTGAGGGGAGCTGGATTGAGAGAGGGTGCAGGCCAGGCTGAGGGACCCCACTGGTGCACGAATCCGTGACCTCCCGGTTCATACGCTGATGCTCAACCACTTAGCCACATCGGCTGGGCTGTCTTTGAGTTCTTTTAACAATATCCTCAAATGTCTCAGAGACATGAAAGAATCTGACTCAATGGCACCCCTAAAGAAACCTATTCTTTTGCACTACATACAAAACTTATCCCTGAAGCTTTACAATGGCTCCTTTACACATGAAAATGAAATCAGTGAAAAAGCATGGGAGAAATGTCTGAGTTGCTTTGCTTCTTTATTTAGACAACCCTATTATTATATTCCCGCTTTTGGTTCTGAACCTTCATATACTTTGCCCTTCATCACTATTTTATGGAATGATGGTCTTTCTCTAAGAAGTTTTCCTGAACTAAAGAAATAAGGGTGACATTTCCTCCTCAAGAACCAATGAATTAACTTTGTAATTCATGTTGTTTCATAGTAGCACCTCCCTAGTTCAGGCTTCGGGAGAGAAGATTAGTCTTTATGAAAAGACTGAATCATTCATTCATTTACTAATTCATCAATAACTGACAAACAGGTCAATGGAACAGAATAGAGATCCCAGAAATAAACCATCTACACTAATAAAAGAGAAACATGGTAATTGGCGTATGACCGCTACCCTTCCCATTGGCTAATCAGCGTATCCTTATGCAAATTAACTGTCAGCCAAGATGGCGGCCGGCAGCCAGGCAGCTGGAAGCGAA